GCCTCCCCTCTCCTCCGTGGGGGACGTGAGACGGCAGCAGCGGGGAGATGCGCCCTCCCTGTGCCTGCGCAGTGTAAGAGGCGCTGCTCCCTCCTGCGGGCAATCCCTAACCTCCGTCGGAGCAACCCTAGCCGGCGTAGGGGCAACGGACGGTCTGGAAAGCTGGTAGGCACCAGGCTTTTTCTACAAATCCGTAATTGTACGCCCAGGTGCGTCCTTCACCACACAAAAGGCTGGCGATCAGTGCGTGCTGATCCTGGTTTTGAAGCATAAACGAAGCCGCAGCGGGGAGGCTCCTGCGTTGATGACACCCGCTCCGCCGGCCTCGACCGTACCCTTTGAACGTGCTCATCCGATTCCCCTTGTGCGATGTGTCGGTGCTCATCTTTGGGTTTCACATACCCTGACTTGCAATTTCCCTGTCTAATACGAGAATGCAAACGGATGAAGCCGCTAGCGAGGTCGGGGTGCCAGTGTTACACAGGCGACGTGTTACGGTTGAGCCTGGGACTTTCCCTAGGGAGGGAACTGGAGGAGTACGTGGGCTTAGCGCCCAGCCAGGGGCACAGGTACATGGAACGGAAAATCAGAGCTAAAACCAGTGTAAAGCAAATACCGATTTACTCTACCGGAAGACAAATGCTAAGGGCTCCAAAGCAAGAGTAGCCTTCTAGACAGAAGTAGTATCTTTTGTTATGAAAAAAACCCAAACAGGTACACCTGTGCAAGGTCTTTTAGACTGGAAAACCTTTGTTGTTGTTTTCAATTATATTCGTGCTAAGAAAAAATACTATCACTTCCTGCAAAGTTGTCTCTTTCCTTAGGCTACATGGCTACAGCAAAACTACTGCTAGAGGCTCCAGGGACATACAGACACGAGACCTGCAAAACGTTTAATATGCACAACATGCTGTAAAGACACTGACAACTTGACAAAGTAATTCTGCACGGATGCCGTTACTGGCTGTGAATTCACACGTTAATTCCCCTTCCTCCCAAACCCAAGACAGACAGATGCACTTTATATTTAGTATCTCAGAAGCACAGAAGGGGAAGGAGCCCCTTGCCCTCCACTTAGGATCACTGACCAGTCTCTACTATCATAAATAACCGAGGTACGTCTTAAGCCTTTTCATAGGGTAATTAAAACTGGTGAAAAAATGATGTTCTACACTCTAGGAGAGTTATAATAATGGCAAAATACTGATTTGAAAGCCAGCTATTTAAAAAATGAGAAGTGCTTAAGCATTGCCTAGGCAATTAGGCTTCACCAGCTCAGAGCACTCTGTGTATGACACCAAACCATTTTTCCCGTGCCAGATTCCTTGGATTAGAGTCAGAAACAGTTAATGTGTCTAGCTGAATGACAGATACACGCCCACAAATAAATCATACAGATGAACCGATAACTTATCTGTCCCACGATATTATGTTCAAAGTTCACCACTGCTCTCAGGAAAACAAACCATCAACAAGTACATGTTAAACTGAGCTCTTTATTTAATGACCATTGTTAATGGCAAACGTACTAGCATTTGGTCTCTGCTTTTACCTTTCCAAAAATTTTATTAATAGAAGTATAAAGAGATTTTTCAACAGAATTGCAGGTTGCAATTTTGATCCTACAAAATGATGACTTTTTTTTTTTTAGGATAAGAGT